ATACATTTATTCAACCACATGTGTATTTCAGGAATATTTTGGTGAAGACAGAAGCAGCAAACACATAATAAATGTATTACAACAGAACAAACACTGATCAGTTCACGACTCGGCTGAGGAATAACACCTGACTGTCCCGTCTCTCGTCAGCCGGTCGACTGGAGCTGGAATCGTCTCGCTGACAAAAAGTTCCAGTTCATGGATCACTCGCTCGTCGCTGTCGTCCGATCCGGGAAAGACAAAGACGCGTCGGAGTTCTTCAAGCTGCTCTCGCTCTGCCACACCGTCATGGTGGAGCACAAAGACGGTACCTGACCCGGGCTGTGACTGGCGGTGGCGCCTGTCAGTCAACCGTGCAAGTTGTATTCATTTCAAAATGAATCAGCAGGTAATGACCTCCATCCCTCTCTCAGATGAGCTGGTGTACCAGGCTGCGTCTCCTGACGAGGGCGCTCTGGTGACAGCCGCCAGGAACTTTGGCTTCGTGTTCCTGTCCCGTACCCAGGACACCATCACCATCAGGGAGATGGATCAGGAGACGACGTACGAGATGTTGGCGCTGCTCGACTTTAACTCCGACCGCAAGCGCATGTCCATCATCTGTAAGAGAACGATCGTGCACACACACACACACACACACACACACACACACACACACACACACACACACACACACACACACACACACAGTTCCAGTTTTGTTTACGTGGAAATAATCTCATTTCTCTGATTTCAGCTTCTTAAATGTGAATGTTTTCCGGTTTACTTCTCTAATGACAGTAAAATATCTTTCTTTCTGTGTCTCACAGTGAAGTTTCCCGATGGGCGTATTCGTCTCTACTGTAAAGGAGCGGACACGGTGATTTATGAGCGACTCTCCCCGAACACCAGACACAAGGAGAGCAGCCAGACCGCTCTGGATGTGAGTTCACTCTGTCCTCATTTAGACCGATGGGTTTCACTGCTGCAGGATGTTTGTGGAGCAGCTGACGTGTAGAAACGTTAACACGCGTGTATGTGCGTGTGCTTCTCGTTGCAGATCTTCGCCAACGAGACCTTGCGGACGCTGTGCCTGTGTTACAAAGACATCAGCGTGGCAGAGTATGAAGCCTGGTCCAGGAAACACAAAGAAGCCCAGGTTTCCATGAGCGACCGAGACGCCGCGCTCGACCACGTGTACGAGCAAATCGAGAGCAACCTCATGGTGAGAGGAAAATACAGAATGAACTTAAATCTTTGAGGAAAAAGCCTTGAACGTTAAATGGGAACTTAAAAAACAAAGAAAATTAATTTTTTTGTTTTTGTTTTCAACTTTTAAGTTGATTGGGGCGACGGCCATCGAGGACAAGCTACAGGAAGGAGTTCCTGAGACCATCGCCTTACTGGCCAAGGCCGACATCAAGATCTGGGTCCTGACCGGCGATAAGAAAGGTAACGACAACATGCGACACCAGAGGAGAGTCCGACTGGAATTATATTCCCAAGAAGCAACAAGAAGCAATAGAGCTACTTGTATAAAAGTAAAACTGAAAATACTGATGTTTTTAACCTTTTTCCTCCAGAAACGGCTGAAAACATCGGATATTCTTGTTCACTTCTGACAGACGACATGCAGATCCACTACGGAGAAGACGTCAAGTGAGTCGATTCAGAACGTCACAACTTTAACAGAAACTTTAAAAAGCATTAGGACCAAAGTTTGCCTCTTCCCGCTCCTGGTTTAATTGCCTCACCCTCAGCCTGGTTTCAGCAGCGTCCGAGGATCTCTGTTATTTATGAATTCCTCTGTTTCCAGTGAGAAGCTGACGATTCGTCAGGCCAACAGGAGGAACCAGCCCACAACTTCCCGTCTCAACAAAAAGAAAACTCCAGAGCCGTTCTTCCCCGAGCCGAGGAAGAACGCTCTGATCATCACCGGAGGATGGCTGGTGAGTTCCCTTCAAAGCTCGTTCTCATTTTCTCATCAGCCGACATCGTGGATCGAACTGATCTCTTGTGTTTTTTCACTTTCTTAGAACGAGATTCTGTACGAGAAGAAGAAGAAACGCCGCCGTCTGCGTCTCCGTCGTCTTGGAAAGCGGTCGGCTCCCAGCAACCCTCAGGACGGACAGCCCAACAACGACTTGGAGAAAGAGATGAGACAAGTACAGATCGACTCAGCTCCGAACGTAGAACGTGTTGTAAATGTTGAATATACGATGGAAACGATAACAAACGTGTTTGTCTGTAGATTGACTTTGTGGACATGGCCTGTGAGTGTGAAGCCGTCATCTGCTGTCGCGTGACGCCGAAGCAGAAAGCCAACGTGGTGAGTTTGGTGAAGAAGTACAAGAAGGCCGTGACGTTGTCGATCGGAGACGGAGCCAACGACGTCAACATGATCAAGAGTAAGAGCAGGACTGAATCTGTCCTTTGTCCTGAATGTTCCATGAATCTTCTCTAACCTCTCTGCTCATCGTCCGTCCAGCTGCAGACATCGGTGTCGGCATCAGCGGTCAGGAGGGGATGCAGGCCGTCATGTCCAGCGACTACGCTTTTGCTCAGTTCCGTTACCTGGAGCGCCTCCTGCTGGTGCACGGGCGCTGGTCCTACATCCGAATGTGCAAATTCCTGCGTTTCTTCTTCTTCAAGAACTTCGCCTTCACCCTGGTTCACTTCTGGTACTCGTTCTTCAGCGGATACTCGGCTCAGGTCAGCGGCGTAACGTAAACATCGTCGTCATATGAATGTGTTTGACGTAGAAGTCCAGTCCAGCGTGTAAACATTCATCATAATTCAGTATCTAAAAGTTGGTAGAATGAAAATTTGACAGGATTTGGTCCAGGAAACAGACCAAAACAAAGCAATTGTCATATCGGAGAGGAAATGAGATTATCAATAAATAAAACAGTTGCCGTTCGGACGGCCCAATCTGGTTTTATATCTGCTCCCATCATGCATCATGTTTACACGCACCACTGGAGACACTGATATCTGTTGTTGTGTCTGCAGATCGCCTACGAAGATTGGTTCATCACGCTCTACAATCTGTGCTACAGCAGTTTACCCGTTCTACTCGTCGGACTTCTCGATCAGGTAAAAACAAACAATCATTTGCTCTTTGTTGTTTTACTCTGAGAATTCATTGTAATACAAGAAAAAGCAGAACTCAGAACTTCCTCCTCCTCCTTCTTCTTCTTCTGCAGGATGTTAACGACAAACTCAGCCTGAAATTCCCGAAGCTCTACCTGCCCGGCCAGCAGGGGTCGATGTTCAACTACAAGAACTTCTTCATCAGCTTGTTCCACGGCATCTTCGTCTCGCTCGTCATCTTCTTCATCCCGTACGGGGCCTTCCTGCAGACCATGGGGCAGGACGGAGAAGCCCCCTCTGACTACCAGTCCTTCGCCGTCGTCACCGCCTCGTCGCTGATTTTCACCGTCAACCTGCAGGTGGGTCACATCGTGTTCACGTCCTTAATTCTCCTTTTAATCAGAAAGAAGACGCACGATACTGTCCGTCAAAAAGACACATCGCTGACTTCCACCTCTTGTTTTCGTCAGATGTCTCTCGATACCTCGTACTGGACCTTCGTCAACTGTTTCGCAGTTCTGGGCAGCATCGCCATTTACTTCGGCATCACGTTCGACAGCCACAGTGCAGGGATTCACGTCATCTTCCCGTCAGTGTTCACCTTCACCGGTCAGTCAACCAACATCCAAACTGTCTGTTGTTCCCCTCAGAGCAGGTGGAGTTACCTCATCACAGTTTCAAGTTGATTGGTCGAGCTCGGCCACACAGAAGTTACATATCTGCAAGTTTGATCCCAACTTAAAAACCCATAATCCAACCATCAGCCTGAGAGAAATAAATAGTGGAACCTAAACCACACCTTCACTCCTCTGTTGACATGTCAGTATTTTACGTTTTGCAGGCGTAGCATCAAACGCCCTGCGTCAGCCTTACCTGTGGTTAACCATCATCCTGACTGTGGGCATCAGTCTGCTGCCCGTCATCTGCATCCAGTTCCTCCATAAAACCATCTGGCCGTCTGTCGGAGACAAGGTGAGACCTGCAGGGAGTCACTGGTTTGATTCCCGGCCGGTGGCACCATTTGGGGCTTCGCTCCCTTACTCTCTCACCTAGTCTCCCGCCTTGTCTGCACCGAATGATTCGAAATTAAAGCAAAATTTAAAACAAATACTTTTATATTTTCCTATTCATGTTCATGACTGGAACTTTTTTATGTTTGTCAAGAATACCGACGTGGTTAAAAGCTACAAAGGTTTAAGTTTAATCAAATCGAAGTAAAACTGTTTGATGAACAAACTTTGATTTAGAATCCTGTAAAAACTCCAATTTAACTTGAGTTTTTTTTCCCATCATCCACCAGGTCCACAGAAACAGGAAGAAGTACGAGATGGAGATGTTGGCGGAGGAGAAGAAAAAGCCGCCGGCATTCCAGCGTGGCCGACGTTCCCGTCGCTCTGCCTACGCCTTCTCTCACTCCCGCGGATACGCCGACCTCATCTCTTCGGGGCGAAGCATTCGGCGGCGACCACCAACCAGGGCCGGACCCCAGGAAAGTATCAGGGAGTTTCCACAAAGAGAGGCTGAAAACATCTGAGGAGCGGAAGAGACGGAGCAAAGCGACGGAGGAGGGTTGTAAATATTTGGGACCTTCATTTTATCTGTGGAGTCAGAAACAACAGCCTGATCCGAGTGTCATCTTCAATTCCTCCCTCAGGAAACTCGAGCACTTTATGAAGGGATGAAACAAACGTTGCCGCCTCCTAAGGTTGCTCAACTTTTAGAAACCAAACCGGGAGCTTCTTTACCAAGAATCTTTAAGTGTGTGACCTCGACTCCACTGCCTCCAGTTCCTCGTCTATGCACAGACACTCTGTTAAAACGCAACAGAAAAGAAAAGCTCACCGAAGAGACGACCGCCGTTCACGGGGGGTTCAAGTCGTGCAGTTGACTGTGTGACTGACAATGTTGTTTAACTCAGGATTTTTAAAATCAGAGCCTTGTTTTTAGTCCGTTTTTGTCCGTGGAGACGCTGCGATACTTTTAAACGTTCAGTTTTAGCCCTGATGTCTGCACAACACTTGATCTGATGGTGTTTTATTAAAATTATCAAAATATTCCAGTTAATTTGTTCGTTAGTCTCAACAACGTTAAAGACAACGGGCTAAAGCTCAACATGTCAAAGTATCTTCTTTTAATGTTTTATTATAAACAATGGTGGGACGTTATTATACCAGGCTATGCAGATGTTATAAAGTGTCTTAACTTAAAATTAAATTGTGAATAGTGATGTTTTCTCTTTAGAAGGGTCTTTACAGATGTGGACTTCAGCCTTAAAATCTTTAGACGTGCCTCCGTCAAAGCTGCATCTTCTTCATGTTTGTGCTCCAAACGCCACGTTTTTGTGTTGTAAACAAACACCAGCACTCGTTTGGCACCCCCACACACCAGTGTCTCCACCTCTTCTCAGTTTGTACATTTAAGTGCTTCTTACTTCTAAAGGGGGAAGTTGGTTTATCTTTTTATAAACATTGGTTCTTTTGTTTTGTCTCCTCAGAAATAAACCACACGTTAGTAGGTCTTTGGGATAACTTTGTGTGTGTGTGTGTCACACTGGTTGTTTACAATGCACCCGAGAAGTCATATGTCATTTGTGTGTGTGTGTTGTTTTCTTATCTGCTCAACAGTGCGAAGCCAAACCTGACACACAGCTGTTCTGTTGCTGTATTTCCCTCATGCTAGTGTTACTGTACGCAGACGATGTCTTTTTATTACTGAATGAATGGAGGCAGCGCTCGACGCTGTCGATTGAACCAGCAGCAGCTCGGTCTCTGTCACGCCACTGTATTTTATGTGGTTGTTAATAAAAGCCGAGGGCACATTTAGCAATCTGAAATGAGTTTTTCATTTTATTGTGGTGACGGATTCATCTTGTTTTATGTCTGATCTGCAAAATAAAAGCGTCTGTCATGACTCTGACCAGGTGAAATCTAAATATTCTAGATCACGCCATCGCAGATATTAATGAAAACTGACGAGCTGCTTAGTTCACATAGGAAACTTATGTAAACAAAATGTCGGATCCTAATTAAAGTAAATATCTGACCGGCCATATCTTCTTCAATTTATATCACAGAGAGAGAAACGGTTTTCATATCGTTTTAATTTAACGAGGACGATTAGTCCATGAACTTATTTAACCCCTCACCCGACACAGAGTGACTCTAATTACAGAAAATAAAAACTTTATCGTTTCCGTCTCTCGATGATGACATCAGGTCAGGTGGGGACAGGTGACGTCACATTCATGACAGTTGACCGAGGGGATTCAACGTCATCAGCCGGAGGGAGGATTTTAAACTCCGGAGAACTTCCGTCAGAAAGAACTACGTCAGAACTACCGACAGAACTAACTACCGACAGTCAGAGGACATTAAATTCATCTTCACTCGTTTGGCTTCATGAATCCGGAGGAGGATGCTAACGAGGCTAACAGCTACATGTTCTCCTGCCGGTCACCACCGGAGCTCCACACCGACCAGACCCGGGACAGACCCGGGAGAGACCCGGGACAGACCCGGGAGAGACCCGGGACAGACCCGGGAGAGACCCGGGAGAGACCCGGAACACACCTGGATGGTAGGTTAGCAGGTTAGCAGGTTAGCAGGTTAGCGGTCCCACTTTTTTTAGCTATTTCTTTATTCCTGTGACTTTTAGCCGAAACAATCTCAGCTAACTTTATTATTTAGTTAACGAACAGTAGTTTAAGTTGTTTTTAGCTGTTTGAACCGTTCGTCCTGTGTTTTATATGAACATTTATCAATATTCATATCTAACGTTCTTTTCATTAGCCTCCATGTCATGTGACCCACTGACTACAGACAGATACCACATTATATCATTTATAATTAAATAGGACACAACTCGAGTTGGTAGATTTCAGTGCTACTTATATTTAATACATTTTAATATCGAAACAATAAGATTTTATAGCTTCCACTAACTCTAAACCAATGCTGAATTCTATTATTACACTAGATAAAGATGATAAATCTCAATTTATTTCCATATAAATATGAAGTTTAGGTTTTTTTGAGTCTCCTATTATCTAATGTTTGTCTTACACACACACACACACACACACACACACACACCAACCAGAATCTACAGGAAACTCACAAAAAGACATTTCCACCTTGAGACAGAGGACAGGGCTACAGGAGTTTGGTGCATAAATCACAAACACATCAGTTAGTTTCATTTATGGATTATCAGGCTCAGAACTCACCTGACTTTATAAGCAGAAGAGCAAGCAGTACTGTCTTCAGCCTCAAGATGGCGCTGCAGGACTGTGTGTGTCTCTCTCAGAGTCATCTGCGGTGACGACAACTCTCATGGCACCAAAATATCTGAACAGTCCCACAGCTTCTTCTGACTGAGGGTTGTTCAACACCTTTTCTGCTTTCCTGTCCTCTTCTCCTTCCTCTCTTCTTGTTTGTCCTTCCTTCCTTTCATTACTTCCTTCCTTCCTTCCTTCCTTCCTTCCTCCGGATGAGTCAAAGCTTCACTAGACAAACCACGATTCTTAACACAAGCATCTTTTATTCATACCTGTAAACTTGCACGATTACTTTTATTCTGTAAACCATGAATATTTCCTTAGTCAAAGAATTTATCCAATCAGTATAATTTCAGCTTCAGGATCGTTTACATATAAAATATCAAGCTTCTATATCCTCATGTGAAATAAGATGATGTGTACACCACTTAAAAATGTAAAGTTTTATTATGTTATATTTCACACCTAATGTCTCTGGTTCTTTTAAACCAAACTCTTTATCGTTTGTGTTTTTATTAAAGTTTATTTGAACTGATGTCAAGCTGCCAATCAAACTCATGTGCGACGGAACAACCGGGCCGTGGTGCGACAAACTCAGATTTGAGTCTTCGTGCAAAATAAAACATCAAACTAAACGTACCCGGCCCCTTTAAACGTTTCACATCAATCAAAACATTTCAACAATGGGCTTTGCTCTGAAAATCAATCCTGTGTAACCGACACCAGACTCCAGTGGGACTGTAAAAGTTCAAATTTAGTTTGATTCATCCGTACAACCAATAACATTACTCCTGTAACGCTGCTAACAGCATGTTAAATCATCTTTTTTTTGGCCGCTATCTCTCAGTCTCTCTGTCAAATCTGCATCAGTTCCACATCGGAGGCCCCCGGGCGGACTCAGATAATGCTCTCCATATTTACAGTGGCAGGAGGATTGGGAGGTTTTTGACTAGATCCCATTTGTGTGAACCTATTAGTGCTGAGCGCTCTGAGCTCCCTCTGATACGCCTCTGAGATTAGGGAATGGTATTACTGTAAGAGGATCGACTCGCCTCGAGGTGAGGGCCGAGCGAGCAGACAGAGAGGGAGGGAGAGAGAGAGAGAGGGAGGAACACACACAAAGACGTGCGCACACAGATAGGACCACACACTCCCCAGAAAAAAATCAGGAGCTGGCAGTGAGAGCGGGAAAGCTCTGATGATAGTATTTGATTTTATAATATAAAACACTGATGATATGATAACTCTATCGCCCCCCTAGTGGCTGAATGTGTCTCCCTCATGTTGTGAGAGACCTTTCTTGAAAACTTTGTTGCTTGTGGTGACACAAAGGAAGACCCGTTATATAAACCCTTAACTTAAAGGTGAGGACAGGTTTTAGGGTTAGGGTAAGGTTTAGGTTAGGTTGAAGTTAAGGGTTAAATAAAGATTAGGTTTAAGGGTTAGGGTTAACTTTGTTAATGTAAGGCTTCGTCTTGAATTTAGGATTTAGGGTATGATTAAGGTTAGGTTTAGGTTTGGTCTAATTTAAGGGTCAGGACAAGATTTGGTTTAAGTTAAGCATTGGGGTAAGTTTAGGTTTAAGTTGAGGGTTAGGCAAAGGTTGACTTCAATTTTAACTTAAGGGTTAGGTTAAGGTTAGAGTGTAAATCAGTGTAAATCAATGTCTGAAGTCATGGAGACGTGTGTGTGTGTGTGTGTGTGCGTGAGAGTGAACCTGGGTCAGGAAGAGGAAGCTGGATGAGGAGGAAGACGCAGCCCTCCCCCCGGCAGAGAGAGAGCCTCGTCATAATTTATGACTTAAAAAGCATGAATTTTTCAGCGCACAGTGGCAGAGATGGCACTTCATGTTTACGACAATCATTTCCTTAGTGAATGATTCATGTGGATGTGGCGCTCATGAATCTTTCAGTGAACAAACAGAAACATTGATGCTCAGAGCTTTAAACTCCTTCATTCGTCGCCTCTTCATCAGCCGATCGGAGTCCGGGAACCGAACAAACTGCGACGTGAGCGTGGGAATAAAAATCCTACCTGCCGCGTCCGTAACTTTTTATTTCTCTCATCTCGTTACGAAGCACTTCTCTGGGTCACAGGGATATTACTGCAGCTTCAACCGCTCTTTGGATATTCTTCTCACATTTCTAATTCTGGGACAGTGTTGATAAATTTAGATTTTATCTGTTGTTCCTCTTGAAAATAACCTGCGCTTGATTTTATCGGTTGGTCTATAAAAATCAGCCGATATAAAACCTTTTGCAAACATCACTATCTGCTTTTATGTTTCTGGATATGCTCTGATATGAAAACTTTTGTTTTATAGAATAAACTATGCAGGCAATCCAAGTTCATCTCTTCTTCTTATAGTTGTTGGTGTTATTTTAGATGTTTAAGTATAAAAAGACGTATAAGTTATGTACCAAAGTAATATTTTACAATTAAGAAAGAATAAAATTTATTTCACGATTCAAACTCTATATATTTGTATTAGTTTATGGTTAAAGTACATTTAATTTCTTTGTCATAAGGCCCATACATCAATACATTCAATATATCAGTATTAGAAATGTTCTACTCCCTAATATCGCCTCTAAAAATGACGTCCTCTGAATTTTGACTCCCCTGTTTCTGATAGTTCTGTCACAAAATAAGAAAATCAATTCAAACGTGTATGAAAACGTTCCTCTTCGAACTGTAATGACGTGTTTAAATTTAAAACATAACATCAGACTCTCTGCAGTAGTTTTCCTCATGAACCAACAGAGGGCGCTCACTCAGTTCGGCCTATTAGTAAAGTAAGCCAGTAAATGTTACGATGGACGCTAGCAGGCAAACCAACCCAACATGATTCTGTCGGCCACTCTGAATAACTGTATTTTAGAGCCGACATGGAACCATCGTATTAGTCAGTCGGGCCGCTGTCCCCCCCGATAATCACCGTCGAGCCTCTGCTCAGCGGAGCTACGTCCTTCTTTCAGAATCACATTTATCTGTTGACTGAAAGCTGCAGTCGCCTGGTGGAGATCTTTCATCTTGCCTGTGTAGTGCCCTTCAGAGGGCCCTACCGGCTGTTTGGATTTTAGCCAGGGTTACTATAGAAACGCACAGAGGGAGAAGTGCAGGAGACGAGGAGAGGCTGGCTCATGCTAATGGAAAACACACACTGACTTGCACAGAAAAATCACACACACAAAATTTAAGATACGAAGAGAAGCGAACACTGATTTTATTCTTTATGAAAAAGGTCTAATTGCATCGGATTGATCGACTCTGCGTTGATCTGATTGATTAATTGGCCGAAGGTGTCAGAGGAGCGAGATCATCTCCTGACACCAACGCGAACACTCACGGGGGAAATGATAATAATAATAATAATATTAATGATTATAACGGTCACAGAATGATGAATAAAAGAATAAAAGCACTAAACATGTGACAGACATGTGAGCATGACCACTCAATGAAATAATAAGAACTAGAATCAGGTAAATTCAGGAACTGTGATAGGACAAAAGTACGTTTTAAGCTTTGATTCAAAGGACGCCGCGCGATGTTTC